AGAACAGACAAAAAAGGAAAATTTAATACATTGTAAATGTCACTCAAATTATTAAATACTGCTTAGAACATGTGTTATTATAAATTAGCTGAGCTTTTAATCGGCATATAATAAAACCTTCATAAATCACCCACAGTTTTATCAGAATGCTCTTCTCATCTATGCAGTCATCATTTTTGCTACCATCAGACTCAGTTTCCAAGATCCTCTGAGAGATCTCTAGGGTATAGGAGACCCCTAAAAGCACACCCCTGAAAGCCAGAGTGCAATTAAACAGAGGCTGCCCAACACATTTGAGGTCTACGAAAAAGTTTACCATCTATTGTAGAGAAGGATAGCCATGGCAGTGGTCGGGGGTAAGGTGGCCAAATCCATATCCACATGCTTTGTCCCAGGAGGAACTTTACTGATGCACAGCAGTTCATTTAGCAGCATATTCAATACTGGAACAGACAAACTTCAGGAAACAAAAGGTACATATCTGCATGAGCAGCTTAAAATGCACAATTTTAATTGAAAATAATTTACTGAAGTATTTATTGAAAATAATTACATTGTTAAAAGACTAAATCTGAAGGGGTATTTTATTGAGTTGTCTCAACAACTTATATGAAATTATCAAAGGGGTGCCTGGGTGGCTCAATCAGTTAAGCATCCGACTCTTGATTTCAGCTGAGTTCATGATCTCATGGTTCAGGAGATCAAGCCCTGCGTTGCCTGCTTGGATTCTCTCTCTCCCTCTCTGCCCCTTCCCCCCAAAATAAATCTTTAAGAAGTATTAAATTTTGAAATATTTAAAATTTTTCTTTACGAAAACAATTTAAACATACACAAAAGTAGTCAGAATATAATGAATCCCTGTGCCCATCATCTAGTTTCAACAATTATGGACTGATGGCTAATCTGGTTTCATCTCTACTCTCACTCACTTCCTCCCCTTCCCATAGTATTGTAAAGCAAATTTTTAACACTAAATCATTTCTTCCATATGTGTTTCAAAATAGATCTCCAAAAAATTAACTCAACAGGGGCACCTGGCTGGCTCAGTCAGAAGGGCGTGCAACTCTTGATCTTGGGGTTGTTAATTTGAGCCCCACGTTGGGTGTAGTTTACTTAAATAAATAAAACTTTAAAAAAATTAACTCAATGGGGTGCCTGGGTGGCTCAGTCAGTTAAGCGTCCGACTTTGGCTCACGTCATGGTCTAACGGTTCATGGGTTCGAGCCCCACACTGGGTTCTGTGCTGCCGGCTCAGAGCCTGGACCCTGTTTCAGATTCTGTGTCTCCCTCTCTCTCTGCCCCTTCCCTGCTCATGTTATCTCTGTCTCAAAAATAAATAAAAACCAAGAAAAAAATTAACTCAATGTATCCACAGTATTCGTTTCACACCTAAGTATTTTTCAGTTGGGGGTGCCTGGGTAGCTCAGTTAACGCTTCTAACTTTAGCACAGGTCAGGATCTCATGTTTTGTGATTTCAAGCCCTACATCTACATCGGGCTCTGTGCTGTCAGCACAGAGACCGCTTCACATCCTCTGTCTTCCTCACTCTCTGCTTCTCCCCCACTCTTCCTCAAAAATACATTAAAAAAAATTTTTTTAATACCTTATAAAAAGTTTTCAGTCTCTTATCAAATATCCCATTGGTGTTCAATTTCCAACTGCCATCATATACATCATACTTTTTTGGTCTACATTACTATCTCTTGACAGGCCTCAAGTCTATCAATGGATAGCCTCTCCCTCAGATTAAAAAAATTCTTTAATCTGGAAAAGGGTGGTAAAAAAAAAAAAGTGTTTAAACACTACTAGGGAGAACAGGATTTTAAAAGGTTTATACCTCCTGAGTCAGCAACTTAACAATCTGTACTAAGAATATAACCAAAACTTCAGATAAAATTTAGGGACAAAAGTAAGGTTCTGTGATTTATTAAAATTAAAAAGTCTCAGAGGGGCGCCTGGGTAGCTCAGTCGGTTGAGCGTCTGGCTTCAGCTCAGGTCATGATCTCACGCTTTGTGGGTTTGATCCCCGCGTCGGGCTCTGTGTTGACAGCTAGCTCAGAGCCCGGAGCCTGTCTTCGGATTTTGTATCTCTCTCTCTCTGACCCTCTCCTGCTCATGCTGTCACTCTCTCTCAAAAGTAAATAAAACATTTAAAAATAATTTTTTTAATTAAATTAAAAAGTAGAAACAAACTAAATATCCGTGGAAAAACAATCAATTATCCACATGATGGAATTATCTCAAAAAAAAAAAAAATACTATGGGGAAATGTTCATGATATGGTTATATGGGAAAAAAAAGAAATCACAATACTATACAGGTTAGAGTATGATCACAGCTTTGTTTAAAAATAAAGGAAGAGGGGCGCCTGGGTGGCTTAGTCAGTTAAGCGTCCGACTTTTGCTTAGGTCATGATCTCGCGGTTCGTGGGTTCGAGCCCTGCGTCGGGCTCTGTGCTGACTGCCAGCTCAGAGCCTGGAGCCTGTTTCAGTCTGTGACTCCCTCTCTCTCTGACCCTCCCCTGCTCACACTGTCTCTCTCTCTCTCCTAGAAATAAATAAAACATTTAAAAAAAATTCTTTAAAAAAATAAATAAATAAATAAAGGAAGAAGGGTGCCTGGCTGGCTCAGTCAGTAGAGCATCCAACTACTGATCTTGGGGTTAGGAGTTTGGGCTCCACACTGGGTGTAAAGAGTACATAAAAAAAAATAGAAAAACAACAGCAAAAAAAAAAAAAAAAAAAAAAAACAAAAATGTTAAAAGTACTTGTCTCCCTCCTCTATTTTCTGATTTCTTAATTTTACAAGGTATATATATATATATATATATATATATATATATATATTTTAGACAGACTCCATGCCCAGCATGAAGCCCAAAGTGGGGCTTGAACTAATGACCCTGAGACTAAGACCTGAGCTGAGATCAAGAGTCAGATGCTTAACCATCTGAACCACCCAGAAGCCCTTACAAGGAGTTCTTTTTAAATTGTCAGAGGGGAGCTTGGCTCAGTCAGTTGAGGATACAACTCGATTTTGGCTCAAGTCATGGTCTCAGGGTCATGGGATTGAGTCCTATATCAGGCTCTGTGCTGAATGTGGAGCCTGTTTGAGATTCTCTCTTCTCTTCCCCTCTACCGGACTCATGTGCTTTCTCCCTCTCTCTAAAATTAAAAAAAAAAAAAAAAATTTTAATTGTGAAAAAAGGGGATGAAAAGTCATTTTCTAAGTATTGCCTTGACAATATTTGTTAACAAATAAGCACGGATTCTTTTTTTTTTTTTTTTTTAACATTTATTCATATTTGAGAGAGACAGAGTGCAAGCGGGAAAGGAGGAGAGAGAGGGAGACATAGAATCTGAAGCATGCTATCAGCACAGAGCCCGACGGGGGGCTTGAACCCATGAACCACAAGATCATGACCTGAGCCAAAGTCAGATGCTCAACCTACTGAGCCACCCAGGTGCCCCCAAATAAGCACTGATTCTAAAAAGATATTTTAATGACTTAGGAGATAGTGATTGGTTTTGTCCAATAAAAACGGCTCAATTATTTCACAGCAAATCATCCATATTACGTAATAACTATCATTAATTTTCATTTTCTTCATATATATGAAAGTAGACTGCAACATTTAAAACTGTTTAGGTGTGAATTTTCTCTAGTTACATCAAATGGTAATAATAAACAACTATCTCGTTATTGATATTTATACTGTAAAAGGTGATTTAAATTCACCTAACATTCAAATATTTCTGTATACCTTTTGAAAAACAGGCTCATATATTACCAAGAACATACAGAAATACAATGTGCATTTTAAGGGCTGGTATCAGAAAAGTACATATAGAAACAAAAAATCTAAATAGTATTTCAAAATAAATTTCTTTTACATCTTCTATACCTTTTCTCTAATATGTCTAAGTCCCACTTCAGATGTGCAGCAACTTTAAGAGCAAGTAGCTTTAAAATACGATTTCTCTTGTTATCAGGTGGAGGCTGCACCTGGTTTTGTTCATTAACTGAAGGTTTGGAAGCCTGTTCCAAAAACTGAACAATAAGTTGAACTGGTGCAGGATCTAGAATTTAAAAGAAAATAAATTCTTAAATTTAATTTTCAATTACGAAGATGCAAAAGGTTTCACTGTATTGGTTTTTGGCCACAAAAAAAATCCCAACAGCTGTGCAGTTATGACAACTAAGGATTATGATTTATAAGAAGTATGCTTAAAGATTATATGAAAGAACAGGAAGGGTGGTAAAGAGAAAGGGTTAACAGATTCATGCAGAAGAAAACACTTTAGAAGTAAGAATGTAATGGCTATAGTTCAGCAAATAACCAATGTCAATTAGAGGAAAAACGAAAGAGAAGCCACCTTTGGAATTACCGTTTTAACACTTAATTAGTGCGACCTGCATCAAGTTACCTCTCTGCACCTGTTTCCATCAATGCACCCTAGAGGATACCACCACCTACCTGTGATTATGAACACCGAATTAAATGAGATAACAGATGTGATGTATTAATATTAAGCCTGGCGCCCAGAACATTCAATAAACGTCTGTGAAAAGCAACGAATTAAAAGAACATGACATCATTCAGGTGGTAAACTGCTTGAGTGAAACCACTAACTTCTCCCACAGTTATCTCCATCAGTTAAGACCGATATAGACTGAACAAGCTACATCGGGATTTCAACTTTATCAGCAAAATACTATTCAAGAAACTTACCTTTTCATACCAGTACCTTTTTCCAGAAATGTCTGGAGTTTCCCTCCTTCCCTAACAGCACCCACTAATTAGGGTATCAATCATGATTATCATTCAACAACCGTGTTACAAATGTATAACATTTCCTGCCCTCGGAGGTTTTCTCATTTTCATTTACAGACCAACTTTGGAAAAAAATAATTAGAAGTCGGTAAAATCCCCTCGTTGGGAAACAAAATATTTAGGTAAGAACCTAAAAGATAACGAATTAGCATCAGGATCAGCACCATAACAGCAATTTCTCTCCGACTCTAAACGGACCGCAGCCCCGAGTTCTATAGGGGTGGGTCAGAGCCAGCCTCTCCAAGCCACGCAATCTCACAAGACCACCCGGCAGGAGCTGAAACCCCAAACAGTAAAAGGACCAAAGGCAAGGGAGGCGGGCGGGCCTTGGTCTTGCGTTTTTAAGCCCTTCACGACGGTGCCCCCGCACTGGGATGCTTAACGTGTAGCAAGGGGGGCTCCGCCAGAGCTTGGCTCGGGTTCGCGCCTCCTGGACCCCCCCCCCCCACCCCCGGCTTCGTGGCGGAGGAGGCGCGGGTCCCGAGAGCTCAGCGAGCGGTGCCGGGGGACGGGTCCCACTCCTCTCCGGGTGTAGGCGCCGCGCTTACCCGGGCAGGGCTTGCGCAAATGTTTCTCCAGCAGCGACTCTTCCAGCAGGAACTCGAACCAGCAGGTCTGCGGCGGGGTGCAGGGCCGGCTGGAGGTGGCCGCCTCCCGGTCCGCCGCCTCCGCGCTCATCCTGCCCCCGCCGCCGGTACCCCCAGGGACGCCTCCCGGCTCCAACCTGACACGCGGACGCGTACCACCGGCCTGCGACCTGCTGAACCTCCACGAGCGAGTCCCCGCTCAGAACGTCTCGGAAACCCACACAACCCAAAATGGCGGCGGAGCCCAGCCGGAGCTGAGGGGCCTAAGTCCGCCTCCTTGCGCCACCGCCGCGCCTCCAGACCAATCGTTGTTCGATTTGTAGAGAAAGAAGGCGGGGCCAATCCCTAGATAACGCCTCGTCGTGGTTGCCCTGGGAGACGTCTCGCGTAGAAGCTGGGGCGCCAGTGGGATTTCCCCTTTCCTGGGAGACTCTCAGCGAGGCTCACCTAGGGTTGCAGTGGACCTCCATGTCCTCATAAAAGACCGCGGACACTACACGTTTAAACTGTGATCCAGACAAAGCTTGTCTTCTTCGGTGCTTTCAATGTCCCTATATCCGTTTTCTAGATTTCTTCGCACTTAGGTCTTCTCGGCGCCCCGATCCCCTTCCTCGAAGGATGAGAATGATGGCGCACAGGGAGATCCACCTTTTCTGTTACTTTTCAGGACTAGCTCTCAATATTCAGCGCCTAATTAATCCTCTTGATATGCCAGCTATCAAGATATAACTTGATATATTGTTAACCCCATTTTACTTTTACCTCCATTTTGTAATGTTCTTGTGCTTTTTTAATTAAAATAGGTAAACGTGTATTCATAGATGGTGCAGACACCTAAAGGGTGCAAACTCTAGGTTAAGCTATTTAACCTCTCTGTCCATATTTGTGGTTTATTTTAGGACTGATAAGAAAATTCAAGGCATTCCCTCTCTCTCTGACCCTCCCCTGCTCACGCTGTCTCTGTCTCTCTCTATATAAAAAAATAAAATAAAATAAATAAAATAAAATCCAAGAGACTTTAAAAAAAAAAAAAATGGGGGCGCCTGGGTGGCTTAGTCGGTTAAGCGTCCGACTTTCGCTTGGGTCATGATCTTGCGGTTCGTTGGTTCGAGCCCCGCGTCGGGCTCTGTGCTGACTGCCAGCTCAGAGCCTGGAGCCTGTTTCAGTCTGTGACTCCCTCTCTCTCTGACCCTCCCCTGCTCACGCTGTCTCTCTCTCTCTCTCTCCTAGAAATAAATAAAACATTAAAAAAAAAAGAAAAAAAAAGAAAATTAAAGGCAGGGGCGCCTGGGTGGCTCTGTCGGTTAAGCGGCCGACTTCGGCCCAGGTCATGATCTCGTCATTCCCGAATTCAAGACACGCGTTGGGTTCTGTGCTGACTGCTCGGAGCCTGTCCTCCCCTGCTCAATGCTCTCTCTCTCTCTCTAAAAGTAAATAAACATTTAAAAAAATTTAAGAAAAGAAAATTCAAGGCAGAGCTTGAGATAATACAGGTAAATGCATTAATATAGTTCAGCTTTTTATACAAGGCCTGACATCTAGAAACATTGATAAATATTAGCTGATCTCATATAGTGCTTTTTTGCAAACTATTTTCATACACATGAGTCTAATTTTCTCCCATAAATAAACTCATTATACACCTTTTAACCAATGAAGAAAGTGAAGTTTCAGAATTATTTGCCCAAGGTTTCCCAAGAAAGAAGGGGCCGAGCCACAGCTTTGGTGAACTTTCAATTGTACCCAGGCTGCTTCCACCATGGGATAGATAGCAAGGATAAGATTAATCACTTATGGTCTTTTCCAGAATGAAGAAGGAAGGCATTTGCAAGTTTTAAGAAAAATAAATGGAAATAACTCCTCCCGAAGTGAAAGTAAATCCAAATAGTTCAGTGGCAATCATTGCCTTATTCTTCCTTCCTTCCCAGTCCTCTTTCTGGGCTCTGGGCTGCCTCTCCTCTTTCATTTTAGTGTTCCCTGAGGTCCTGTGCCTTGCCCTCTTCTCACTGTAAAAGCCATCCCTGGGTCACTCCCCCCAACTCCTGCAATTCTGTCCCAGGCTCTAAAGAAATCATGTATTAGACTAATAAAACCATGAGGACTAAATTAAGAAAATAGCAACAGGGAGATTAAATAGTTATTTTTGTGAAAGATTCGGCGTGTTTTACTCATAACGTAGGCATAAAAAGATGAGAAGAGAAAGGATGGACCCCTGTTCTACACTCCAGTGACAAGGGTAGATGACCTATGCTTCCATCCTTCATCAAGTATAGTGAATAGCTAAGGGACAGGTTTGAAGTTCATATTGGAAATGTTTGAATAGGCACCACTTGTGAGCTGTCAGAATGAAAATGTCCAGAGGGTGCTGAATTTTAGATAATTAGTATACAGGGGAAAAAAATCTAATAGTATCACTTGCTCATTTGTGAACTCACTATATGTGGGCTCTGATTTAGTACTTTGTGCGTTGTCTTAGTCCATTCAGGCTGCTGTAACAAAATACCATAAACTGAATGGCTTATAAACAATGGGAATGTATTTCTCACCATTCTGGAGGCTCAGAGTCCAAGATCGGGTGCCAACATGGTTGGGTTCTAGTAACAGCCCTCTTCTGGGGTGTAGACTACCAATAGCTGATGGTAGCCGCAACTGACAAAGCTTTAAATTTTTTTTTAAATTTTAAATGTTTTTATTTCCGAGAGAGAGAGCGAGAAGGGGAGGGTCAGAGAGAGCACAAGATACAGAACATGAAGCAGGCTCCAGTTCTGAGCTGTCAGCACAGAGCCTGACATAGGGCTCGAACCCACAAAGCGTAGCGTGAGATTGTTACCTGAGCTGAAGTCGGCGCTTAACCGACTGAGCCGCCCAGGCGCCCCATAACATGCGCCTTTTCTAAAAGCTTTGTTGGGGGCGTCTGGATGGCTCAGTCGGTTAAGTGCCCAACCTCAGCTCAGGTCATGATCTCACGCTTTGTGGGTTTGAGCCCCGCGTCGGGCTCTGTGCTGACAGCTAGCTCAGAGCCTGGAGCCTATCTTCGGGTTCTGTGTCTCCCTCTCTCTCTGACCCTCCCCTGCTCATGCTTTCTCTCTCTCTCTCTCTCTCTGAAATAAATAAAACATTTTAAAAAGTTTAAAAAAAAAAAGGAGCAGGTTCTTTCAGAAGGACACTAATCTCACTCAGGAGGCCTCCACCCTTACGAACTCAGCTAATCCTAATTATTTCCCAAATAAAGGTCCTGGTGCCTACTAATACCATCAGGTTAGGTGGTAGAGTTTCAACATTTCAACAGATAAATGTGGGAGCACAAACATTCAATCTGTAATATACATATTCTCTTATTCAGGCCCTGTGAGATGGGTTTCATTATTATCTTCTTTTTCAGGTGATAGAACAGGCACAGAGAAATTTTTTAAAATGTTCCCAAGGTCACATAGCTATAAAGTGCCAGATGCTAAGCATGAATTTAAGTGGCATGACTTCAGAGACTGCAATCTTACCCATGCATCATATATATATATATACATATAAATAAATATATATATGTATACATACACACACCTCTCTAATAAGAAAAGACCAAAAACAAAACAAAATAAAATTAACCCAAAACAACAAAAACCAAAAGAATAATACAAAGAACTCTTACACCCCTTTGCCCAGACGTCTCAATTGTTAATATCTTACCACATTTCCTCCATCACTCTCTCCCTACAACCTGTGTATAACCTTGCTCCCTTACACACCAATGCATCTGTATTTAGCCAGGCCTGTCCCAGTTTTAACAATGAAAATCCTACATCCCAGCTCCTCCCTCCCTTCCTTCTGGGCAAACTCTAACATAAGCATGTTGCCTGAGCAACAGCACCCCCTCATTTTGCTTCTGGTTGCTTGGGTGCTGGGAGCTGTCATCTCTACTTGGAGAAGGAAGATGGGAAGTAGGAGATGGGACGAGAAGTCTGTAGTTAATTATTAATTAAGCAAAGGGCCTGGAAGGTACCAGAATGCTTAGCTCTAGAATAATGGAAAAATCACAAATTAGATGGTTCTAGGTTTAGTAATATCATAGGTATAAGTGAAATTCTAGCAAACATTTTTACAAGGATCATTATGTAATTACAGAACACCTTGCAAGTTTCATATGCTGTATATGTTCAACAATTATTCACATAGGAGGTTCTGTTTTATGCTTATAATCAATTGCAGTACCTGGTCACACTCTCCTCTTCCTTCTTTATGATAGTTTAAAAATTTTCCCTTATATCCTCCCAGCATTCTGATTCTTCAGGTATGTAATAAACTCTTCCTTCAGAAATCTGGACCTCTGCCACTGACAACACAGTATAAGAAACTAGAGCTACAATGAAAAACAAATGCATAGAGATATTATTACTTTTTTTTTTAATGTTTTATTTATTTCTGAGAGAGAGGGAGAGAGAGAGAGGGAGCCTGAGCAGGGGAGGGTCAGAGAGAGAGGGAGATACAGAATCTGAAACAGGCTCCAGGCTCTGAGCTGGCTGTCAGCACAGAGCCCGATGCGGGACTCGAACCCACGAACCATGAGATCATGACCTGAGCCCAAGTTGTATGTTTAACCAACTGAGCCACCCAGTCGGCCTGAAATATTATTACTCTTCTGCACCCTAAAGATGAAGATGTTTTTCACATCATCTGAGAATCACATCAGGAAAAATCAATTTGAATTCAGTTCATATATTTAACATCTTTTTAAAGCAAATACACTACAATTCAATTATGAGCAAATAATTTAAAACTTTATTCAATAAGTATCTTGGGGGTGGGGCACCTGGCTGGTTTAGTCGGTAGAACACACAACTCTTGATCTCAGGGTCAACAGTTCAAGCCCCACATTGGGCAGAGAAGTTGCTTTAAAAAAATAAGTATTCTGGTGGTGTAAAGATCTATGTTAATGGTTTCACTGCCATCTTGTGGCCTTTAGGGGTAGTGTCTATATTTACCAGTTGTACTAGATCACCTTTTCCTGATACTTTCCAGGGTGGAAGAAAGAATTTGACAGGAAACTTCTGATTGCAAGTTATCTATTCCTTGCATAAGCTATCTGGCTACATCTAACTGAATCACATCTTCATGGGGACTTCCAAAAACAGATCTTTCAAGAAAGATAATGAGTCCTTTCGCTATCAAACATTACTTCTTTACACTTATATTTATTTTCTCTCCGGCCTTTGGACCAGGTAGACACCCTGTTACATGCTGCCATAGCACTAAGTGTCCTCATTCTGGCCCTCAACTCACCTCCTTGCAATTGA